GAGACGATCAACTCATAAACATGTCAGTACCCGTTGTTCCTTGGTTAATCGGGGGGAAGCTAACTAACAATGACTTCTTTTACTCTATAGGCGTTCAAATCTTCGTGGAAACCCGGATATCTGGTGCTACGACCCAACCTCCTGTCATTATATAAGGATGTAGAAGAAGCAGAGCTTCAATTGTCAATCGACCTATCTGATGTCACGGCTGTTGCTTTGGTGAAGGCCGCCAAATCCAAACGCCAACATGTCTTCGGAATATTCTCCCCTTCGAAAAATTATCGCTTCCAAGCCGTATCAGAGGTTGACGCGGAGAGCTGGGTTGATCGCATACGCAACGAGAGCTGCTCGGATGACGCAGACTCACTTGGAGGATATGACATTACGGAGAATAAGAAAGCGAGAGACGCTGTTGAGAGCATGAGCGAGACCGATTGTGACGGCCATAAAACGACTCAACATCGTGCCCCATCCATCCGGTCCGGCAATCAGCAGGCACAACAGCTTTCGCAAGACTACTCCGGGAACGAAATAGCATCCTGTTCTGATTTCTCTGATGCCATTGGCAGCATCACACCACGCCGTTCCACAGTGTCTTTACCACCCCATGATCGAAATTCTCTATCATCCTCATCGCCTCCGGATCACCACCCATCCCTGCCACGGAACACAAGCCAATTCATCGATGGCGCTCTCGGGAACCTTGATCCAGAACGAGTCATCTGCCACGGCTACCTCCTCTGCCTAAAAAGCAAGAAGGGAGTCCGGCAGTGGAAGAAGCTTTGGGTGGTCCTTCGACCGCAGAATATTTGTTTTTATAAAGATGAGCAAGAATACGCCGCTGTCAAAATCATTCCAATGCTGCAAGTTATCAACGCTGCGGAAATCGACCCAATTTCCCGATCGAAGAAGTTTTGCCTCCAGATAATCGCGGAGGACAAGACATATCGATTCTGTGCGCTGGACGAGGAAGCCCTTGCGAAATGGCTGGGTGCACTCAAGAGCCTGCTAGTTAAACGCCACGGCAGCACGTCGAGACACACAGCTGGACCTGCTATCGCTGGACCGTCCTGAAGCATATCGCTGAAATATTGAAAACTCTTGATGGTGTCCGCACTCGCGCCTTCTCCAGGTGAAAAATACCCTGCAACCATAAATATCTCCTTTGTCCGTCATCATTTTGCCGCATTTTCGTTGTTTGCTCATCTACTTAGTGCTAGAGACTGGTGTCTCTGTGCGCAAATCCGCATACTCACACGCTATTATTTCTTCTCTGTTTTTACTCCTTCTCTTCCTCTTCCTCCTGTGCATTTTCCTCTTGGCGCATTGGCGAAAGATGACCGTTTGTATCGTTGCTCCATCAGGTCATTACCGTTGGATGCTGGTATGTAACCTCTTTTAAACTTACCAACCACCTTTATATACTTTTATATTTAGCCTTTATGTGTATTTTTTTCCCCTCCTTTTCCCCTTTCTTTATTCTTATACTTGACTGCCCGCACTGAAGGCGTTGTTTTTTTCCTAGTGGACATTGATACCCTTCTTCTTCTTCTTCTTCTTCTTTTGACCTTTTTTACTCTGTTTTGTTATCCACCCTGGCAAGCTCCACACATGATGTCGCATATTCTACGCACCCTTTGGTTTTTTGCCAGGTCATTGGTGTTAAGCTTTTAGTATTGTTTCTGCTTGAATTGGACTGCAGAGGTCCCGCGAATTTGTTTTCTCCAAATTAATTTGAGAAGAAGCTTTTGGTGAAGAATCCACTGCTTTCGAATTTTAGTATTGTTGGTTCTTTTGATCTTTTATTAGATACATCTGTTGGAATAAAATGCAATGCCGTTGACCCCTGACTCCTGTAGCCCAATCCGATGACTAATAGTTGCCAAGCAATCCAGGCTTTTTCGCAGCCGAAGAGACGTTGGATTGACAGACTTCAAACGACTTTCTGTTTGCGCTTCTCACCAACACCCATTGCTATGAATATCGTACTTTACCACTCCCTGAAAAAAGATCCTTTGGATTCCTTCCTCTCTTTTATCCCTCTATATTATATCTTGAAAGTCTCTTATTCATTTACTTCTGTCTTTCCTGTGTGTCAACTAAAAACCTCAAAGGAGGCGGTGATACCAGGCTTAAAATCTAGATTAGATAGAAGGGTATGGGTTTTTTCGACCACCTTCAAACGAAGGGAAGCATAGCCATTCAACCCAAGCGGCCACAGATCCGAAGAGTCGAAACAGCAACCAAGCCCGCCCAACCTACCACGTCGAGAGCGGCACCAGTCGCATCAGAATGTTCAGGCCCAAAACCAGCCCCTCACTCTCACCAACGCCGCAACCGCAATCCCAACCCTCCCACATCCAGTAGGCGCTCCTCCAGTTCCGCCCGCGCAAGTTCCACGGCGAGCGATCCCACCCCGTCCCGGCATCATGACCCCGCCCCGCGTCTGAAAGCAAGATCCTTGACGCGAAAGCGCCCATCACTTATCCAACGGTTAACGAGTAGTAGCGATGAGAGCGATACTGAAGCGTCTTTCCTTGAGATTCGCAAGCGGATGAAAGTTAGCACAAGCGCGGAACCAGATTTACAACGCCAAGTTCGGTCGACGGTTGCGTTCGCGGAAGATGCGGGGAAACAGACAATCCCGATAGTCCATGCGTCTGATATCGCTTCGATGGACAAACCTGCGGAGTTTTCAAGAGCGTTTGGTGATGGGAGCGGTTCCGTTTCTGTAGAGCCTTTCATGGTTCGGTTGCAGTATCCTGGCATTTCCCAGGGAGAAAAGTGAGTTTATGCTTGTGCAACATTCTGACTTGATTTTAAATTTTCTGCTAATGGTTTCCATTTGTCATTTGCTGCTAGCTACCAACTCGTTATCCCTCGGGAAAAAGAAGGGTTCAAACCCTTGGATGACATAGTCCATGTAGTCAGCATAGTGTCACAACATTACATACCAGAGGAGCATGTCCATCTTTTCAACGACGAAACCACTGGGATCAATCGCCGCTTCAGACGCGCCTTGGCACATGCTTCTGAATCAGAATTCACTGCAGTAGTGGAGGAATACAACAAAATCATCAACCGGCTCCGAACTGACGGCATCATCGCGAAACACCTCGATAACATACACAGCCTGCCCCTCCCCCTAGTCGAACGAATCCTCACCCAGACATATTCCCGCACGGTCTCCCCACGTGTAGAATCCCTCCGACAGTACGAAAACGGCACAGACAACGTCTACGGCGAGCTCCTACCCCGTTTCATCTCCGATATATTCAAGCAAACCAAGCTAAAATCCGACCAGGTATTCGTCGACCTAGGTTCGGGAGTCGGCAATGTCGTCTTACAGGCAGCCTTGGAAATTGGCTGTGAGAGTTGGGGTTGCGAGGTGATGCAGAACGCCTGCGACGTAGCAGAGCTGCAGGGGAGAGAATTCGAAGCACGCTGTCGACTCTGGGGACTTTCGCCGGGCATTGTCCGACTTATCCGCGGCTCTTTCCTGACGGAAGAAAGCATCATTAGAGCGCTGCATCGAGCCGATGTCGTGCTCATTAATAACCAAGCATTTACGCCGCAGTTGAACAATGAGATCATCAACCACTTTCTCGACATGAAAGAAGGATGTCAGATTGTGTCTTTGAAGTCTTTTGTGCCCGCGGGGCATCGGATTCAGGCGCGGAATTTGAATTCGCCGGTTAATCTGTTGTCGGTTAAGCAGAAGAATTACTGGTCCGGTAGCGTAAGTTGGACAGACGCAGGGGGGACATATTTTATTGCGACAAAGGATAGTTCGAGGCTTAAATCTTTTGCAGAGGGGATAGTGAAGTAGTAAAGGAAGGGTGTACCTTATCGATGACGCCCCTTTTTTTCTTTTTTTCTTTCTTTTTCTTTTACCACCAACACTCGTTTTGGGACGGAGACTACTCGTTTATTTTGGCAAGCGAATCTACTGGTTTGTGGTTTATATATCTGGGGTGTTGGTTTTGTCTCTCTCTTTTTTGGTTTTCTGGATAGATTGGCTGGGAGAAATAGATGCAAATTGACGGTAGATTGGAACCACGCGAATAAACTTGGGTGTATTGGATTTATGATACTTTTTGTAGGTGGTTTACCGTTATTCTTAACTTCGTTTTGCTTCATTCAGCTGTTATTCTTTTCCTTTCTCGAGTTCTTATTCTTTCAAAGTCTGTCTGCTGCTACATCATTTCTTGGCTTTGGATATCCATTTGAGGGGTGAGTCAAAAAAAGTTGTCGATTCGATATTACGGCCGGAGATGTTATTTCTGGCGGCGATTACACCCCTACTTGCACAATGGGGAATTTTGGTAGTGTTCAATATAAGCCAAATTCTCATACCATGACAAATTCAACTCTAATGTAATATATATAAATAATGCGCCCACATGGTCCGAAGATGCGAACATCTGTTCCCAGAAATAACGCCCATCTGAAGAGAAAAGGTAAAACGCCGCGCCCATCGATCCGTTTCATCGATTCGATTTTTCATCAGCTCGCTTTCAAAAGAAGAGGTTATACAAGGTGCATCAAGAAACTGAGCATGAGAACGATGTCAGGAAAACTTGGATGCCTTATTCATGGCATCCGCCTCCTGCCCCATCCTTGCCATCCATCGATCAACCAATTCCTTGTTCTCGGCCTCCAGCCTCTTCGCACGGTCCTCTGCCATATTAAACTGTAGATTCAGTGATACGAGCTCCGTTTGCACGTTCTGTGAAGAAAAGATGAAAAATAGAAAATGGTCAACATATAGCGTATTCAAGAAAACAAAGCACAAGAAAAAAAAACGAAAAGCGCATCGCGTAACATACATCTAACAGCTTCGCCTTCCCCCTCAGTTCCTCATCTCGATCCTTCACCCTAGTCAGCAACAGCGCCTTTTCCGCGCTCAGCTCCTCAATGCTGCGCGCATTCGCATTCGTTTTCCGCTGCAGCTTCTCCAGCTCCGCGCTCGTCTTGGCAAGTTTATCTAGTAGCTCTGTGCGCGAGCGCTGTGCTTCGGAAAGATCTTGTCGCGCAGCAGCTAGGAGCGCGTCGTTGGGGGCCGATGCCTCGCTTCCATGCTGTCGTTTGGATGAGGGGGCGAGCTTTCTGTTGTTGTTTTCATGGATGTTACCGGCAGGCGAGCCGGCGGGCCTGGTCGGGGAAGAGGAGGAATGGGCTTTGCTTGTGCGGTCGGCTAGGCGGGTGTCTATATGGTTTTGGTATAAGTTCATATGAGGGGTCGCAGGTGATTTGAATGGTGGTGGGCAGAGCGGGTTACCTTCGCAGCTTGGGAAGGTGGTTTACGCACAGGCATCGTAAATAGCAGCGTTTGCTTGTTCACGCGCATCCCTCACTCCTAAAGCTAACAAGTATTCTTCCTGCCAGTTTGACATCATCTCATTGCGTGGTTTGGTTGGGCGGTTAAATGGATCACGCCCACACTGCACGAATTTAGTATGCGAAGGCACCTTATTATGTTTGTCTTGTTTGTCTTAGATGTGAGGTTGGTACATTAAGTTTGAAACCCCCCCCCTGGCCGCCGAGATTACACTAACCATATAACGTTAATATGTATATGCTGCTTTTTGCAAAGATCTTTATATTAATATTTTGTATACCATCCTTCTGCCTCTATAACTGCCTTCACTCGATGAGGCATTGTAGCAGAAAGATTATATGGAATGCTATCATCAATTGCATTCCATGCCTCCTTAGCTGCCTCTATTAAAGCTCTTTTTGTAGCTACTGTATCTGATGCATGCTCCAGCTCTGGATGCAGCTTATAGATCTCCTGCTTCAACAGTGCCCAAAGATTCTCTATAGGATTCAAATCTGGAGAATATGGAGGCCAAGGCATGATCTCTATATTCATCTCCTCAAGAACCTCCTTAACTATGTGAGCTGTATGAACCCTGGCTCCATCATGCATGAATATATCCCCCTCTCTCACAAATTCAGATAAAAAGGCCCTATACACATCCTTTATCACTCTTGAAGAAAGGGGTAAATAGTATGATAAAAGCAGCATTCCAACATAACTGGGTTTGGGTTAGTGATATCTTGGCATCACAGGTGTGGCAGGGGGGGTTTCAAACTTAATACCTGACACTTGTACGTACAAATTGATCCCATGCTGTGATGATCCCCACTCAGTGCCTTTAATCAAAAATTGTCATAAAATCCCATATGTTATAAACATCAAAATTAATGGAATTAGTTGGTCATAAAAGTGTTTTAATGTCGTTGCCCAGGATACTGAAATGAAGGCGTTGAAAGTGAACAGTTTAAGTAGTTTAGTGTTGGGTTGTTCCGTCTGGTAGCATGAAATCGCACTGTAGCAGCCGACAACCCCTAAAGACGGGACTAGTTTAGGGGCTTGACACCTAAATTTTGGCTGTCCGGCTAGGTGTCATGCCCCCATAACTTCTGTGAGGGCCGACATTAGCCTGTTTGTACTGTATTATACATCAATTTCGGTGCTATGCTTTATGTAGTAAGGAGCCCCAATCTTTTGCGGGTACCCGATTTACCAATAATACATTCCTAGCGTGATGCATGGATCTGTTCTGTACCTCCCGACGACTGAACCTGGAACCCATCACAGGTCCAACCATCTCGTATTGGGCTTCTTGTTCCCTGAGCTCCCACATCTCTCTTCAAGCCTCGCCGTTTACCTTCTTCTGTTGTTCCTGTCGCTGGCCTATCCAGGTAGCTTGTTTGGAGTTGGAGTCGGCTGCTACTCCTCAAACTCGCCACCCAGCCTCCGCATCCAACCCCAGCAAGGTGACGATTTGCCGCCAAGTGCTCGAATCCCACACTGCGACCCCTCCGTTGCTCTTCTTCTGCTGTTTACATCCTCTCTTGAGCCACTTCGTGTTAGATATGGCTACCCGTAAGAAGCTCCTATTGAAGGTTCGCTCGGTGGCTATTCCTCCAATCTAATCTCTCCCCCTCCTTCACAAGTTGCCTCCTTGCTGACAGTCGTCCCTTTCCTTTCGACACAATAGGTTATCGTCCTTGGCGATAGTGGTGTTGGAAAAACGAGTTTGATGAACCAATATGTCAGTTGCTATGAGTTCTTTGTTTTACATATATATATGGGGATGATGTGGAACGAAGAGCATGAAGCTTATTATCTTATTTATGTTGGGAATATGGCAGGTCAACAAGAAATACAGTTCAAGCTACAAGGCGACGATCGGTGCGGATTATCTTACAAAGGATGTTTTGGTGGATGACCGATTGGTGACCCTACAGGTACGGTTTTCTTTTCGTCTGCCTCAGAATCCACCCAGCGACCATACGACAACAGCTCCTTGCGGGAGAAGGAGAGGGCCAGCAAGAGCTTCTGTTGACTCTTCTACTTTATAGCTTTGGGATACGGCCGGACAAGAACGATTCCAGTCGCTAGGCGTCGCGTTCTACCGAGGAGCTGATTGCTGCGTTTTGGTCTACGATGTGAATAATTCCAAGAGCTTTGAAACCCTGGATAGCTGGCGAGATGAATTTCTCATCCAGGCGAGCCCGCGAGATCCTGAAAGCTTTCCCTTTGTAAGTTTTAAGCATTGCACTCATATAATCGCCGTGTTCTGTGTGCATTTTCAAAAAAAGATCGCGCTTACATGGACTGGGGGTCATAGGTCGTTTTAGGGAATAAGATCGACGTAGAAGAGAGCAAAAGAATGATATCGTCGAAGCGGGCGACGACATATTGCCAGTCCAAGGGGAATATTCCATACTTCGAAACCAGTGCTAAAGAGGCGATTAACGTTGAGCAAGCATTTGAAGGTATGCTTTGTAACGAGCTGCTCTCCCCACAAATCCTTATATATGCATGCGTATGATCTAACATAAGTTGCTCTGGAAAACAGAAATCGCGAAGAGCGCTCTTGCACAGGAAGAATCGGAAGAGTACGGCGGAGATTTTGCCGATCCCATCAACATCCACCTGGATAACGACCGTGACAACTGTGCCTGTTAATATTCTCCGTTTTATCGTGCCTTGTCCAATACCCCCAATATTTGATAGCCTTAGACTGTCATTTAAGCATGAACCACCCGCTGGAGGGTTAATTATTTTTTCATATTTTCTATAGTCCTTCTGAGATGTGTCAGTGGAGGGAGGCCTCGTTTTTATTCAGTGGAAATGTTGGATCAGTTTCTTTCTTCTGTCTTTTGCGCATTGTCATCGTCTCTTCATCATGGTGTCTGGCGTCACCTCAGTATTTTATATGCTCCTATACAGTTTCGCCCATACTTAATCCCTTATTTTTGCCCCCTCAAGTCGTTGACAGAGGGGGCCTTCCCTCTCATCATATATGTAGATATTGAGTGAGCCAAAGATGGGTTGATTTTGCACTCTTAACTCTGTATGCGTTTTGCCAATGAAAATGTGTAAGATTGGGTAAAATGAAGATGAAATTGCTACTTTGTAGTTATTTGATTTTAGGTTTGGCAGAGTCGAAGGTTCGCTCCAGTGCTGCATTATTTAAAACAATATTATGGAGCGGATTCACGAATGCGTTTGATGTCCGTGTTGACCGGACCTTTCCGCCTAAATACCCCTGTTCAACGGTGAGACGACGAGCACGGCCATCTCCGCTTTTCTCCAGCTTGGAAAGTTTGCATGCAAACTTTGATGCTCGACTTTCCGGCTCTCGCAATAAAAGCAGTTTTCTCTTCATCAGGATCTAAATGCGATATGCCTCCTCTCTGATTATAGCACTACTCATCGAACCCACGCGTCGTTATCTTTCTCACTATGCACATGGCACAGATCTCACGATCACTCACGATAGCTCTTTCCGGAGGAGCTCCTATAATTCAACCACTTCACGTCCTCTTCGAATCCTAAGTATTACAGGCATTCCTTAAAGGAGAAATTTGATTTATTTCGCGAACGGAAACACAAAAAACAAAGAAAAAGAAGGGGGGGGACAGCCATGAGTTCGGAGCAGCTGGTGGACGGAAGTGATGACGAGCTGTTGCAACAGCACAAGCCGCACCAGCACCATCTCCACGAACATCGGGCTCCTGTTGAGGACATGCAGGTCGAAGATGAAGCTTCAGGGAGCGTCATCCGGTCTGTGCGGCCTCAGTCGAGATCCACATCCAGACCGAGATCATTGACTTCGGAGCGGAAGCAAGGCGGTATGGAGCCCCGATTGCCCTTGGGCATAGGAAGACGGACTTTGGGAATCATATTACTTTTGATTGTGGTTGTTCTGTGGACAGTGTCGAACTTTTTGGCCAGTGTGAGTTCTTTTCTTTTGGCCTTCTTTATTTATACATATTTCTTTCAGAATGGAACGCCCGTTGTGCCACCGTTTTTTGTACCTGGTTAGCATGTTGGGTGTTGGGATTTTTATTTTTCCAATATCGCTCTTTTTGCACATTTATTTACATGACAATATCCTTTGAAGTAAAAACCCGAAGCTAACATTTCCTTTCACAGACCATATTTTCGAA